AGTTTTCCATTTTTAATATGTCCGCATTAAAATTGATGAAAAATTAAATTTTGACATATTAAAATGTGTGCGAATAATGCGCATGGAATGGGACGATTTTTCGAACGAGGTCGCATATAAACAATTCTACAAAAAAATCACTCTTGACACGGCAATTAAGAATAAATTTTCGTACGTTATGACGCAAACAGACAGATGATTGCATTAGGAAAGCTGGCTTAAGGTATTGATTGGTCGACTTTGTTTGATTAAAGACTATTAGCTAAGTCCCCAGTGACCGTTGTAAAATTTTCAATTTCTTCATTACGATTTCCCGTAAATGCTAGCGTTAGCATAGTATAATAAAAAATTAGCTTAATCATCATACACATTCATCCAAATATAATCCGAAATATATCTGAAAATTACGGCTAAAACTTGGCTGAGTAGTGTAAGATTCGGCTTAGAAGAAAAATGCTATCCCAAGCGATCTAAGTTCATCAGAAAGACTTGAAAGCGATAAGGATGGAGTTACGCCGCCGACTACGCAAAAAGTTCAGCTTCAATTGCTTTTAAGTTGCAATAGTTAAAATGACCCAACGGGTAAGGGATAAAATCAAATTATTTACTTTATTTATGACGCATAATACGGTAAAAGAAATTAGCATAAATATCGAGCCTGACAATAAAGATACTCATAGTTGTTTGGAAATTTTGCATTATACGGTCATAAAATCATCTTATAGGAATATTGATCTCCGGAGGGATTAAAATTTTTTAAACAACCTAACATAAAGTCTAAAAAATATTGATCATCTAATAGTAGAGAAAATGTTATTTAATACCGAATCGAATATGATGAAGGGAATGAATGAATGAAATATGCGATTACCACAAAGCGTAATAATATTCTTTAGAAGACTGGGTGTAGGGAATTTTTATTTCATATAGCATCGCTTTTCAGTTTTAAGTAAGAAATATATAAATTCTCTTCTTCACGTTTACGTTATGAGTTTTTTTTTTTTTTTTGTCCTTTATTCTTTCTGTTTCGTGCATCCAGTGCACTGTGCTCAAAAGCAAGTTGTTATGTGATGTTTTTAGTACAGAGTCTGTAGACGCGTCGCAAATTTTCTGCTTTGTATATTATTTGTTTTTATTTGCTGGTCTTTTCTAATTCTTCTTCTTATACAGGTTTTTTTTTTTTTTTTTGAATACTATAAAAAAAAAATTCTCCATTACGGTAGTGAACCAGTCAGCCATTCTAACACATTGTTTGTGTGTGTGTTTGTGTGTGTGTGTGTGATGAGAACATTTCTCAAGTCATCAGTCGGTTATTTCGTTTGCAATTCGTGACGTCTCGTTTTGTTTTATATAGAAATCATCTGTGCAGCGCAACGTCTATAGTTAGTAAAAGCGAAAGAAAATGGAAATTTTTTTTATAACTCTTGGTATTAAGTGTGCGTTCGTTGCTCATGACGCTTGGCGTGTAACAGACAGTTTGGACTGAGCAGCTGATAATAAATGTTAGTTTTAACGCCATATTTAAATTAATTGCCATCTATGACGCTGCGCCATCGTCACAGCCACTGCCACTGCCACTGCCATGAGCAACCCACTGCCACTGCCACTGCCACTGCCGTTACCATGTATTCAACACATTATTGCGTTCGCCTTAGCTCTACTTTAGAATTAGATGCGAGCGAATTTCATAATACATTAAACAACTGTAACTGTGACCACCACCATATTGTTAAATGTTAAGAGAAAGGGAAAGTCTGAGAACTAACAACAGTCTCTTCTCTCTTGTCTCAAATTTTATTAAAAAAAAATTATAAAAAGAAAACAAATAAATTTTTTAATATCCTAACGGTATATTTTTTGTTTTAAAAATATTATAAACTCAATTAAGAGAAGGGTTGGTTGGTTGGTTGAATTTTCCTTCGTTTTGTTCTTAAATTGCACCTTTATTTTTTTTTTTTCGTTAATATTACCCCAACAGCTGAAAAGCAACCCTTAAATTTTTTGATTCCATCAAATATTCTGGATTAAAGATATTTGAGGAAGTTGTGTGTGTTGTTGCGTAGCTCGTGCTCCTAAAATGTTATTTTAGTTAAAGAAATTTGTTGTTGTTGTTGTTTTATTTTGATTATTTTGAAAAAATCTCATAATTTAATGTCTTTTAAAAGGTTGTCTGCTACTTATTTGCTACGTACGTGCATACTATGTACTCTACACATACGACTGGCAAGGCTTTCTTATTTGGTTTCTTAAGGGTATGTTTTTGACACCGCGTCATCCACTGTCTAGTGCTATTGTTTTTTCATTTCTTTTTATTTTTTTATTTTTTATTTATTTTATTTTTATTTATTTATTTTTTTATTTTTTTTGCTTTATTAACATTCCATTTTGTTTCGTTTTCGTTGATTATCATCAACTTGAAAGTTGGAATAGAAGGGAAGGGATTGCAGAAGTTTCAAACGGAAGCCTGGGATGATGTTACACTTTACTGAAAGCAAAAGTTGCAAGTTGGGGTGAATTTTTTTTTTTTTTTTTTTTTTTTCTTTATATTGTTATTTAGGCTCTAAATTTTAGATTATGATACTCACACAGATGGTTAATATTATATGTAAATATGTATATCAAGGGCCGTAAAGTGCTTGTGGGCTGAATACGCAAAATTTGTTGCTTTCTTCACCTGCGTTCCTTTTCCCATTTAATAATTATTAAACGTAGAATGCTTCATCCCGTAGCCCATTTATAATCATGTCAGAAGCCGAATTATTTTCAACTTGGTGTTAATTAAGTTGTTATGTCCCAATAGATGCGCATAAGAGAAGCAATCTTTTTATGAATTTTTCGTACTCACATATGAAAGTCGTTTTGTACCTCCTTCAAGTGTGTATGTGCATTATATTCAGAGAAAATCGATCACTAGCTGAGAACGTTTCTTAATTTTGATCATCATCAGCAGTCCCAGGTTTATCACCAGCAATTCTGTTACTTTTTGCTTTGAAAAGTGAATTAAAATTCAATATGAATTTCTTCAAATGAGCTGAAAAGGATTTGGTTATCGGGCAATTACTTTGTTATAATATTGATGTTAACGCGCAAATTATTCTCTTGGCCGAATCTTACTATTACTTAAGAAATTTGCCAACGCTCATGATAAGGTCTCTGTTGCATAGACAAAAGTTGAAAATTTGATAACATAACCTCACAAAAAATAGATGCAAACAACACAAAATTTTTATACAAACGATTTAATCTTAGTTTATATAATATAAAAATGTCAGTTATCTGGATACATTGTGCAACAAACACAAGTATGTTAGTGTGTCAAACCGCTGTAACATATTGATGAAGATTTGCTTTGATATAGCATATTAAAAAATTGACCCTTTGTCTTCACCGATTGAGAGAATTCTCCTAATGATCTTTAGCATCGCATCGAAATATTTATGCGAAATTTTAGATTAATATTATAATAATATTATAATATATATATATATATATATATATATATATATATATTTATACCCTACACCATTTGCGATCTAAGGGTATATTAAGTCTGTGGTGGTGCATAGATGGGCCGGAAGGACTTGAGATAGATCCATCTTCTATTGTATCGAACATTTCTGAATCTATTTAACTTTGTCTGTCTGTCTGTCCGTTTGTTATATGCTCATAGCAATTTTCGAGATATATTGATGAAATTTGGTGCATTGACATGTTTTGGCCCAAAGATGAACACTATTGAAAATGGTTCGGTCGAGATCATCTCTTTCTCAACTAACTTTCTCACTTAACCTTATTTTATTTTGATAATTCATTATTTGAATTAATACCAGTATAATTGTATTAAGCGAAATGGTTTAGGTTATTTAATGATTTGTTATTTGTCTATCTTAATGGTTCTTTATGTTCTATTTTTTCCGTTTTGCGATTGCAAATAAAAAAATTTAATAGTGAGTCTGAGTGAGTTTAAAAAGCCGTGTATGTGTAACTCGAATTAGAATGAAAATGTTTCAAAGATATGGAGCAGATATCGGAATATCAACTACATTCGATTTATTGCGTAAATAATAAAACAAAATAGTCTAGAAGGACATTACATGGTATAGCAAGTGAGAAACGTATACTTATTTGTCTTTGGGGGAATCTTTGATGTTTTGATTGTCATATATAAAAAAGTGATATAGATTTTGTTAAATCTCTTCGTATAACTTTTACATTATTGACATTCTAATATTTTATCTGGGGAATATTTATCTTTCGATCAATATCTTTCGCAGATTATAATCATATATTCTTAGGCTGCGATGGATCTTTTTCAGCATCAAAATTCATTGATTTGTCGTAACTGTCAGTTATGAGTGGGCATGCCTAAATTTTTAGCTTCTTACTTTTAATGATCATAAGTGTTTCAATAAGACAAGATGAGCGAAGAGATATCGCTATACCGGATCCAGAATCGTGCTTTAAGTCCTTACATAAGATGGATATGTAGTTTACAGGAAAGGAAATTCTAAATACGGCGACTTCGTTAAATAAATGTGAACCGTTGTATTTGTGCGGCCACTCTGTTAATTATTAATTAATTATTAGTTCAGTCCTTTTTTGAGTAAAACTTGCATCTTATCCTCCTTACGTTTCAAACAAGTGAACCTTCATTAATTTCATGCATTCTACCCTTGGTAAATCTGCTATGTTTTGCTATGATCTTGGTGTAGAGCCTCATACATAGTTTAAATGGAAAACTTTTGATATCAATGCATTCAGTGTGCGCTTACTTATCTAATAATTGATTTAATCAGCATCGCCATCCAAAAATATCCTACGTTAAAAATATAATAGATTTCTGAAAAATGTTGTCGCTTTATTTGATTAATTTCTATTGAATTGAATGAAAATGTCTTATTAACAATTTCATTTGAATATAAATTGAATAAAAAAAAGTTCTTTGTTGTTTTTTTTTTTTTTTAATGTATTACTATTTGTATCATTCATTATTATTATAGAACAGCGGCTACAAGTGAAAATACGACAACGACGACAACCAACTCATATCTGCCAACACAACCCTTAAAAGATAATTCTAATATAAGAATTATTAAAGTCAATGCGGAACAAGCACACTTAATTGAACAACAAAAACAACAACAACAACTTGTTTCCGGTACAACAACCAACCCCAATAATAACTGTAACAGTACCCCCTTGACAAATACAACCTGTAAGAGCACCGGCTCTCCAACTTCGGCTACTATTGTTAGTATTAACGGTACTCATAAGCCAAACAATAACGGGAATTGTAATAATAACGAACGTCCGCTTAAGTGCTTAGAGACATTGGCACAAAAGGCTGGTATCACATTTGACGAAAAATACGATTTTGCTTCACCGCCACATCCAGGTAGTGCAAGCGGTGGCAGTGTAACGTATTCAATCGCTACGACTGCAACACAGCCCAGTGTTTCAGCTACTGGTTTAACGGGCCACGCGAAAAGCTTCACACTGGAGAAAGCACAGAGTCCAGCGCAACAAGTGGCACCCGGAGCGGTGCCACTGCAAATATCTCCCGAACAACTACAGCAACTTCAGCAATTGCATCAATTGCAACATGGTTCCCCATTTGCAGCAATACAAGTAAAACAAGAATTTCCGACTCACACTACCACGGCAACTTTAACCGGGCCTTCTGGAGCTGGTACCGAACTAAAACATTCTTGTCTATTGGATGCAGCCACTGCCCAAGGTCAATTGCAACAGATGCAAATGCAATTAGCTGCCGCTGCTGCTGATGCTGGTGGAGGAGGTACTCCTAACAGTCCAGCCACTCAACAAACGCCCAGCAGTGCTGCAGCGGCAGTAGCCGCTATGCAACAACATTCCACCACAATTAGCACTATGTCCCCAATGCAGTTAGCCACAACTACCGGGCAGGTAGCTGCAGCTGGAGATTGGGCACAAGGGCGCACGGTTCAATTGATGCAACCGTCCACCGGTTTTTTGTACCCTCACATGCTGGTACCGGGTAATCTAATTCAATCTGGTCTCGGCCAACAGCCTATACAAGTTATCACTGCGGGCAAACCTTTCCAGGGTGGTGCCCCACAAATGATTACAACAACACAGAACACCAAGCAAATGGCTATAGGCGGTAACACTGGATTTCCTAGTGGTACCACTTATGCCATACCGTCTAGCCAGTCACCGCAAACACTACTTTTTTCTCCTGTTAATGTGATTTCTCAATCGCCTCAACCACAAAATATATTGCAAGCTATGGCAGCTGCCTCTAATGCTCAACAGCAACAACAACAGCAGCAGCAGCAAAAGGGAGCAATCGAATCTCAGAAAAACATGCAGCCAAAAGTAATGCAAAAGCTAACTACGACGACCACAAATTCTGTACAGTCAGCGGCTACGGGAGGTGTTGGTCAGCAACAGCAACAACCAACAACTCAACAGTGCGTACAAGTCAATACTCAGACTGGCATGCCGACAGGAACAACTCAAATAATTAGTCCTCTGCAAGGAACAACGGGTGCACCGCAGCCGTTGCAAATCAATGCAGCGCCATGGGTTCAAAGTGTACCATTTTGGCCAAACGGTTTGCAACAGTTGCAAAATCCTATCATTATAAGGGGTACTCAACCTGATGGTACTCAAGGCGTGTTTATACAACAGCCAACGGGACAGACCCTGCAGGCGCAGCAACCAAATCGTAAGTAAAAGAAATATTTTATAAACTTAAATATATATGTTTTGCGTTCTATTTCTTAGAAATTACTCTCCAGTGTAATGTGACACAGGCGGCCACTAAAGCACGAAATCAATTGGAACAGATTACAAAACAACAGCAACAGTCTGCAGGCACAGCGCAGCAAGTTGTTCAACAGCAACAACCTACCACGACTCAATTACAACAAGTGCAACAGCATCCGCATCAGCAAGTGGCTGCGGCGACGGCAGCTGTAGCCGCCCAGCAACAACAACAGCAACAACAAGCAGTCGTTGCTGCGCATTTGCAAGCAGCTGCTGTCCTTTCGCAGAGAACACCGGCAGCTCAGATGGCAATGGCACAAAATGGCAATACTCAGATACGTCCCGCATCTTCAGTGTCCACACAAACTGCACAAAATCAAAGTTTACTCAAGCAAAAAATGCGCACGAAACAGCAGAATGTCCGTCCAGCATTACCTACAATTAAAACAGACGCGACGAGCTTGCAGCAGCAACAAGTAGGAAAAGCGCAGGCAGCTGCAGTGACAGGGTTGCAACAGCAAATATCCGCGGCAATGGCTGCACAGCAGCAGCAACAATCACATACACAACCAACGATGCATCAAGTTGTCACATCAGCGGGCAATAAGTGAGTTTGAAAACTTAGTTTACTTGTTGACTTCTTCTTTAAAATTGGCAAACGAACCAATTTAACAGATTTTGCGTTATTTAGTTTACGTGAGTTATGCCTTTATCAGAATTCTATCAGATGATTTCTAAAAATCCATGACTAGAATTATTTGTTTGGCTTTATTACCCTTTCTCGTTAGTCTTGATTTAAAACAGTTCTTGTATTAGGATTTGAAAACTTCTCATTCATTTCTTCTTTCTGTACTTCATATTTTTTGTTGTTGTTGTTATAATGAAAGAATGGTGGTCATGAGTGCTGGCACCCCAATCACCATACAGAATGGACAATTGCAACAAGCCGTAGATAAACAACAGCAACAACAACAACAGCAGTTACAATTACAGCAACTGCAAAAGCAACAGCAACAGCAGCAGGCTTTCCTACAGCAACAGTTTCTACAGCAGCAAATAGCGCAAATACAAGCTGCACAACAGCAGCAATTACAGCAAGCCGCTCAGCAACAGCAACAGCAATCGCAAACGACGCAAGTGACCCAAACTCAACCGCAAATACAATTACAAGTTGGTCCGCAAACTTTCATTACAGCGCAACAACAGCAACAATTACAAAATCAATTATTGCAACAGCAACAACAGCAATTGCAACAACAACGTGAACAACAACAACAGCAACAGAATATCAATTATCAGATTGTTGTACAACAACAGGCTGCGGCACCCCAGCAGCAACAGCAACAGCAACAACAACAGCAACAGGCGCAACAACATCAACAACCGCAACAGCAACTAACTCAGCAAATTACGACTGTGCCATTTTCAGTTTCCTCATCCACACCGGCTTCCATAGCTAGCTCGTTACAACAACATGTCGCATATCATACCAAGACCAGTAATTCACTGCCTACCACATCTATGGTAACTCTTTCTCAGCAAAGTGGTCCTTTGGTCACAAGTACTGTACATCAACAACAACTAATAGCTTCAGCATTGGCAGCATCACAGCAACAGCAGCAGCAGCAGCAGCAGCAACAGCAACAACAACAACAACAACAACAACAGCAGCAGCAATTACATCAGCAGCAACAAAGTCAACAATTAGCAACAGTAAATCAACAACAATCACAAACTTTAGCCACCTCTCAAGCAGTCATGCCGCCCCCATCATCTCCGGCTCAAAATCCTATATTGGCAATGGCTTCAATGATGAATGCGGCTGCCGGTGGGGGATCAGCAACATTAACATCAACTTCTTCCGTATCGTCGGTTGGTACCACTATCACTACCACTACTGTTCCTACAAGTATAGCGTCGTCGTCTATGAGTCATCAGAATACTGCCTCTGCATCTTTACCCAGCACTCCCAATAAAGTTGCAGCGGAACAAGTCAAAGCCGTATCTAGCGCACCTAATACACCGACCAGCGCTGCTCTGACTGTGAGCTTGAGCGCTCCCAGTACACCTTCCAGCTGCAATGAATCCAATCAGAAGGAAACACCGCCAAAGGTGATTGGGACAGAAGCAAATAGAATTTCCTCGTCAGAAATCACTTTGACCACCACCACATTGGTGTCTTCAATGGCAACGGGCACTCCGACCACAGCAAATAATAATTCTCTACCAGAAATACCCCAACAAATTGTTACACCTATAGATACAACACCGGTGTCCGAAACGTCGAGTGAACATCAGTTGACAACAAAAACGCAACAAATACAGGCGTCGACAACAAGCCCGGTTACAGTTGCAGCTAATACACCGGAAAATTCAACATCTCCCGCAAAGTCTATCAAAGCTACCAGTGAATCTGATTCTTCAATGACATCAACTGCAATTGTCGTCTCGACTACGCCAGAAGATACCGGTTTATTGGCAAGCGTAGGTACAACAATTGCTACCAATACTGCTCCCGTAATTGCAACTAGTTCAGTAGCGTCAACTACGAGCAACAGTGCATTCGTAAGTAACAATATAAGCACGACTACGAGCACCACAACTACGAATACCATTAATATGAAATCGATTAGCACCACGTCGGTACCGTCGAAAACGACAACAGGTGCCAATGTAATTAAAGCTGAAAAGGATTTACCGAAGGCAATGATTAAACCGAACGTTTTAACGCATGTCATCGATGGCTTTATCATTCAGGAGGCTAACGAACCATTTCCTGTAACCCGACAACGTTACACAGATAGGGAAACCAGCGATGAACCGCCAAGTATGGTTTTACTAATAATTAATTACGTTTGCTAGAATTTTAATTAACGGTTTTTTTTTTTTTGTTTTCTGTTTGATTTTTAGAGAAAAAATTGGCATTGGATGACGGTACTATTAACAATAATAACAACAATAGCTTGTCTTCAGATCTATTAACATCCGATATGGTAGCTTGTGAACAATGTGGCAAACCCGAGCATAAAGCCAAATTAAAAAAGAAACGTTTCTGTTCGCCATCGTGTGCTCGTCTAGCTAAAAACTCAGCTGGGGAACAAGGTTTAGGTCAGGTTGTTCAACAACAATCAGTTGACAATAGTCTAAATAATGCAAATATAACTGCCATCGTTACAAGTGACAATATAAATGGTAACAATTTAGATTTAAATACCAATAATTTGGTAACGGCTAACATTGGTGTAAATGTGGAAAAAATGCAAACTGAATCGAGCAGTAATAGCGCGTCGACCATGGTAGCTCCCAATTTTGCAAATAACAATTTATCTGCCAACAATTTACCCATCACAATGACTACGTCTGTTAGTGAAGTGGGTGCAGTTCCTCAAATATCCACAGCTCCTATTGTAGAGAATACGCCTCAAATGGCTAATTGGTCTGTAGCGGATGTCTGTGAATTTATTAAAAATTTACCCGGTTGCAGTGATTATGTCGATGATTTTGAGCAGCAAGAAATTGATGGCCAAGCTTTACTATTACTTAAAGAGAATCATTTGGTTAATGCCATGGGCATGAAATTGGGTCCGGCTCTTAAAATCGTTGCCAAAGTTGAATCTATGAAAGAAGTGACGACAGCAGCATTAAATGCCGCCAATAATTCTCCAAATGAAAATAATCAACAATAGATGCTAGTAAAATGCGCGCTGCTGTTGGGAGATGAGAAACTGTGAAAATGAAATTAAATAATTTTGTTGAAATTTTTTTTTTTTTTTTTTTTTTTTTTTTTGCTATTTTGCTTAGATAACAATCGCGTCTATCTTGCATTTGATATAATCGAGAAATCTATGATGATGGGTGATGGTCGCTATTAAAAAAGATCTTCCCCCTTGTACATATATACATTGAAATAATGAAAGTGTAAAGATATGCTTCGTTTTTATGTGTATTATAAAAACAAGAAAAAATTATATTAGAAATATTGAAAAAATTTCATAACAACAACTTGTAAATGCTTACATGATATATGATATATGAACAAGAGCAGCCAGCCATTCTAAAAAATAAAGAATTTTTTTTTTTTTTTTTTTTTTTTTTTTTTTTTTAGCATAAATTGTATTATTTTATATAAATTTTGGCTGTTATTTTGCTCCGAAACGATAATCAGTTGGAAAGTTAATGAAAATTTTGTACATTTATATAACTATTTTTCTTTCTATATTAAATGTAACGTAATAAAAATAAAAATAAAAAGAAAAAATTATGTAAAGTAAAATATTATTAATAATAATATTATTATCAGCGAAATTGTGACATAAAGCTAACAGAAAAAGATATCTACATATATACATACAAATACACATTTATATACATATATTTAATCGTAGCATTTGCATTTAAGATAATTAATTGTAAGTTTATTCCTTCGGTTTTTTTAATTTTTAAATTTTTATTTAATAAATAACTGTAAATTTTCTTGATTTAATATGTTTAATTTTTTAAATGCTAAGATATTTCATATAAATGTATCAATTACATATAAATATAAAAATAATAAATACAAAAAATCACTGTGAAGTGTTTAAATATTATGAAAACAAAAACATGAAAAATGAAAAAAAAAAAAAAAAAAAAAATACAAAAACAAAAACAAACGAATTGTCTTTTGTGTAACTTTGAAAATAAAAAACTTGAATACTAGAATTACACCACCGATCGATGTTTTGCCTATTTGTGTATACGTACACCTATCTCTATTCAGTAAAGTGAGCCGAAATTCGTTTTACTTTGTTTATGAAATTTCCAAACCTTTGCAAAAATCCCGGGAAAATAAGTTGAAATTTTTGATAGAAATTTTTGGTAGAAATATTACTTGATCGATTGAGTGAAAACTTTTAGTGGTACATGTTTATCTAGCATAACTGCGACTTGTAAGATATCTATCTTACTGAGCCATAATTATGTGTATGTGTAACATTCGAATACAAGTAAACAACATTTTTGGCAAATTGTATTATTTTATATGCACAATATAAGAAGAATGCATTCTTCTTCTTCTTTTTTAAATAAGCAAATCAACAACAGATGACTCGCAGAATAAGTAGAAACACAATAGTGGGCCATAGCCTAACATTAAATATCCTACATCAGTCTACAATTATTATATGTAATGATTTTGCAAAGTAAGGCGTTATAGAGCCAATGGTCGAGAAAGTGATCCCATCAGAATCCCATTTGTTTTTGGGTGAAATCTAGTCAGTGTACCAAATTTCATTAAAACATGCGGTTAAAAATTGCGGTTGACGGACAGACAAGCTTAACTTGATTTAGAAAGTAATTCTACATAAAAGATTGGTCTGCCCCCCAAATTTTTTTATCTGCACAAACTTAATACATACTTTGTATCACAAGTGGTGTAGCGTGCATGCAACGTTAACTGCTTATTCATTAATTTTCGGGGTATTAGTAAACCGATGAGAATTATTTTCATGGGTGTTCCCGACTGCCCGAATGTATGGGTGGGTAACAGTTTTTCGAATTAAAAAAGCAAGTTTTCATTTTTTTCGAGTTTATTTCAATTTTTCTTTTTTACTTTTGTTGAGCGCGCGTACTTGGATAGTTTACAACAAGTTGTTTAAAATCTTGTCTTGCCTTAATCGATCAAAGAAATATTTTGTAGCAAACTACGGCAATTTCATAGATAAACTCAAACTAATCCAATTTAATAGAACCTAAATATATATGTCATTGACATCTCGAAAACTGGACGAAAGAGAAAACGTTTCCTGGTTTTGATTTTTTTGTAGCTCGAAAAATCAAAAGTCTTAAATTGACCTGTCGGGTTATTCGATACTGAAAAAAATCGTATAACTTGTCGACAATTGTGCATTCGTTATTCGACGCGTCGACTGTCATCAAGCCAAATCCAATTGCCCCAGGCGATCCGAAGTTTTCACATCAATTTAGAAGGCAGTGATCGAAAAAGTGGACCGATCCAAACCATTTTTAATATCGTTCGTCTTTGGGCCAAAGTATGCCGGTGCACCAAATTTCATCAACATGTCTCAAAAATTGCGACCTGCAACTTGAGTACAAAAAAGCTGGACAACCCATCAGACGGACAGACAGACTTAAATCGATTTATAATATGATTCTGAATCGATTGATATAATAAAAGGCGGGTCTACTTGCAGCCCTTCGTACGAGTGGTACATACGTCCGCATTGAAATTTAATATATCCTGTACCGCAAGTGGCGTAAGGTGCAAAAAAGTGATCCAAATCCCAATCAGAAATGTGTTCTATTTACGTTTATTTTCGAAATCGTAAAATGGATGGCTCTTGAAACTTAGTCCTGGCACTGTGGTTAAGGTGTGCTATGGATAATAATGATTTCATATTTTGAACGCGAATCACATACATTTACAAGTAAATTATTTTTTTTTGTAGCAGGAACGGGGAAAACATTTGTGTTCTGCTAATGTTGATAAAGCATTTTCACCGAAATCCCGGCGAATAATATCACAAGCACACGAATTCGCCTGAATAAAAGTGATGCAATAATTTTTGTGAACTTTCATGTCATCCTTCACACGCTTTATTGTGCGGCTTGATAGAATTAGTTTAGCATTATCAAGCCGATAAGCGAATTTTAATGTGATCAATGATCATCAGAGAATGTTCCTTACACGTATGATAGGGTGATGATTAGAAAGAAATCGTTCCCTAAGGAATTGCGAGTCTTTAATGCCAATTAAATATAGTGTGTGTGTGTATGTCATCATTTAAAAAAGCGCTCTAGGTTGTCCTTCTGTTGTTCTTCATCAAAAATTTTGACCTCTGTCTATTTCCAAGTTGAGTTTTTTAATATGACCAAACACACAGGTGTCACACAGGCACGCAGGGTCACGAGGAAATGGAGAATGAGAGATAGGAGGAAGTGGCCGCAGTCGACCATGGCAGGTTTAACGCCTTTATCGACTAGGCACTCACTACATAGCTACGCGACTTGAAAAATATGCTTTACCGCAGTGAGGTTTGAGTCCGCGAACATCGACTCCGACTCCGCTATTTGGCAGGCGATCTATTGGCTTGCAAGTCGTCTGCAAACTTTTCTCCTTGACAACAAGTAAGAGGGAGCTTTGTCATTGAAACTTTCATTACAATTGGGAACAGAAAGCTTTCTTATTAACCTTTTAACAAAAAAAAAAAAAAAAAAAAAAAAAAAAATGTTAATAATTGATTTATTATTATTATTAGTTTTTCTTTTATTTTTGTGTACTTTATTAATATTAATAATAATAAAAAGTTCTATGAGTTCGCTTTGTTTTTCTTACAATTCTTTTGGTTTTTTTTTTTTTTTTTTTGTTGTTGTTATATTTAATATTTTTAAAAACATGTTATTATTCAAATTACAAGTGTTTAACTATCTTTGCTTTATGCTTTTTTATTCTTTTATTAAATATTATTATAATTTTTATTTTATAAATTATTTAAAGCAAATTTCATTTCTTATTTCTTCTCTCATCTTAAGTATGATGTATATATAGTTATTATTTTTTTTTTTTGTTTATATATATCTCGTTTAGTTCTTTTTTTTTATGCGTGGTTCGCGTTGTGTATGCATTATTATTTAAATGTTTTGTAATTAATAATATATATCAAAATGTTGTATTTGTTAAATTTGAAAGCGTTACTAGTTTAATAAGAGAAATTTCGAGAAGCAATTATTGAATACACACACACACACACACACACATACACACACACACACACACACACATGTATAAAAACTACACTTTTAAAACCATGAAAATATGCGGGTATGCCGAGTTCCATATGCTATTAGTAAATAATGCGCCCACGAACATAAACATATATCGGGATAATGGTAAGTAAAATTATGCGTTCTTATCATCTCATCGATATGATGGGGGCAAAAAATAAAATGACTAAAAATGGGCATAAACAATTGCCTACAATTGCCATCATGTGATGATCCATTGTATAAAATTGTATGCAAATACACGAAAGCTACACGTTTTTGATACGTTCCCCTCTGCTAAAATGTTGTGCGATATAAGAGAATCCCAAGGGCCTACCAGAGGTATATTAGTTGTTAGGATTGGATTATTGGGAGGGTATAATTGTCATTGTATATTTGTAAAGAACATAATACGCAAGTAAAAATTCGATTTGTGGAACATTTCATATAATTACCCCCCAGGGTGGAATACCACGAAGGTATGATACACTATCAAACACACTTTTAAATAACATATGCTATGTGGGAAATGTGTGTGCCGCCGACATCTAGTCACTTTTGAGTACAATTATACGAAGGATATAGATTGGTTTTTTCGGATTTATCTTGACGCCAGGACAAAGAGTATTCGGTCAGTTTCGCATTGGTTTCAATCAAAAAACGAAAAAACACAGTATGGACAAGTTTCATATCTTCCGATAAGGGGAGAGCATGGCAACTTGAATCAAATAACATATGCTATTTAGTCAAGAAGTATCAGCACAGATTGTGCATTGAAGAGAGTGCCAAGTGCTAAATTAGGATCATATACGCGATCGTGATAAGAAAGTCTTGGTTGAATATTTCTTCTTCCATCTCACCTAAAATTCCTAGAAATGCATACTCATAGGTATTTGAATTAAAAGACATCTCCCATCTATAGTTTGCAGCTTATACATAAGCCATTCTATATGTACAAGACGAGTAAATGGTGATGAGTTCAATGATTTCAAAGGATATACACCGCAAAACAGAGAGGAAGGAAGCGATTATAAATTTGTAAGCAGTCGTCCCATAGAGCAGCGTTCCCATAGAACAGAGTTATGCAGATTTGCGTTTCAATCGTTATCCATACCGTTAGCATTGTCTACTGGTGTGGTCAACGAGCTGCTTAAAGAGCTTCCGTACTTTAACACGTATGTGTAATGTCTTTTTCAAATTGTTGTTGTACAAAACTTTTATTTAAAAGAAAAGAACGATGAGTTTCT